GATTTGGTTCTTCAGGAAGAGTAACTGTGAGTTACTTAGGCCGTTTATTGATTAAATAATTGTGAATGCGGTAAAGATGAATTACTTAAAGCGTTTTACCGCTTAAGTAATTCTGAGTAGAGAAAGAGATGAATTACTTGAAGCGTTTTACCGCTTAAATAATTCGGAGTAGAGAAAGAGGTGAACAACTTGAAGCGTTTTACCACTTAAACAACTCGAAGTCGAGAAAGATAGGCAAGGTGCATCTGTGATTAAAGAGAGAAAAAAGGAATGGATCAAGGAGGAAACGAGAGAATATTGACAATCATATAGTCTTGAAATTAAAGTAACATGAGAAAGAGAAAGAAAAAGGAATTTGTTCTGGAAGTAGTGGTGAACGTTAGCGGGAGTCCTCGGTTATGTCTCAATGATGTGGACTGTTGATTTTGATTGGATTGTACTGAGACGAGAACTTGAAATAGTTAAACTTGTTAACTGATTTTGAATGTCACTTATGACTGCTCGAAAGATTCTTTTTACTGACTACGCTTTTCCGAAGGGTCACATATATATATATATCGGGATGTGATGCAATTCGATACTTGGACTTTGAATGGATGATTCATCTCTTTTTCTTTAATTGAGAAAGGTTTCTCAATTATTTCGAAAGAATAGGAGTGATTAATGTGTTTTCGTTTTATATTGGGTCATCTAAAAAATATCCGCGGTTTTTTGTTCAATTTTTGAATGAAATTTTTCTTTATTGAAAATCAATTATATGTTATAATCAAATATATATTGGCCATTATTATCTATAACGTTTTGCCATTTTTCGGGTAATTTCATAATTCCATCCGTGTAGAACTTTTGTGATTTATCAAAAAACTTTTTCAAGTGATTTTCAGCAGCTCTTTTGTCGGTCAATGTTTTTCCATCAAGAGAGTTCTGCAGAGATCGAAACAAATGGTAGTCAGACGGTGCAAGGTCCGGGCTATACGGTGATCAAAACTTCCCAACCAAGCTCCCTCAATTTTTGGCGCGTCATCAAAGATGTGTGTGATCTGGAGTTAGCATTAGGGAAGACAACACTTTTTCTGTTAATCAATTCGTTTTTCCTTAATCGCTTCCTGTAATCTATCCAGTTGTGAACAGTAAAGCTCTGAATTAATCGTTAGGCCATGTGGTAACACCTCATGATGGACTTCCTTCCAATCCCACTATACACACAACATCACCTTATTTGCCATCAATCCAGGCTTTGAAGTCGTTTGTGATGGTTCGCCGCGCTTATTCCATGATCTTTTACGAACAATATTCTTGTATTTCACTCATTTTTCATCGCCTGTGATGATTTACTTCAGAAATGGGTCGATTTCGTTGCATTTTAGTAGTGTTTCGCTGATGGAAATTCGATCAATCAAATTTCTTTGCGTTAATTCATGTGGCACCCAAACATCGAGTTTCTTTGCGTAGCCAGCCTTTTTCAAATGATTCCAAACTGTCATATGGTTGATTCTTAGTGCATTGGCTATCTCCTGACAGCTCACATGCCGGTCTTGCTTGACCAGTTGCAAAATTTCATCGACTTTTTCAGTAACTGGTCGACCAGAGCGAGGTCGATCTTTGACATCAAAATTTCCAGAATGAAATCGAACAAACCACTCCTGCGTCCTGCGTTCACTTACAGCATCCGCGCCATAAACTTCACAAATTTGTCGGCATGTTTGTGCTGCGTTTTTGCCTTTTTTGTAGTAAAAAAGCATCACATAGCATATTTCTTCAGATATTTCACTCATTTTCAAACCAATATAACTTTTGACACGATTGATGAATCATCAAACTTTGTTTACAAAAAATGTAACCTAAAATGTCATCTTTCAGACGCGTGTTCGTTTGACATAATCGGATTAGTGTTGCCCGATATATGATCAACACCATCTAGTGACAAAAAACCGCGGATACTTTTTAGATGACCCAATATATGAGTCAGAAAAAGGCTTATCTGTGAGTCTTAGGGCCAATACACGTGTTTTCAATCGAACGCTAATAATTATTTTCCTTTAATTGATGTCTAGTCTTTTATAATAATCAAAAATCAATATTCGATCCGCCATGTTACTGACTTCGCATTTGAGAAAAAAACAGATTTTCTCCACGAAAGAAAAGAATCGTGAAGTCAAAACGTAACACTAGAAACACAGGTAATTTAGTCAGGAAATACTGGGAGGAAAAATAAAGCTATGATTGGAACAATAGATATGGTATGGAGAAAGAAAGTTATTATAATAAGAACGAATGGGGAATTGAATCTAGAGAAGTAATGGGACATGGAAATAAAAGTTTTGAAAAAGATTTAAGTAAGGAAAGAAATTTACAGAGGCAATGGGAAAGGGACAAAATAGATAGGTCAAACTTTATAATAAAAGATATAAAGAGATAAGTATAGAGAATAGGGTACCAAATTATTTGAAGATGGAGAATATGGAATGGAAGAGAGGAGATGAGATAAGAGCATTATTTAAATTAAGATGCGGTAATTTAGAAGAGAAGAATAAATACTGGCTAGGAATAGAGGAGGGAGGATGTCTTTTCTGTTGTGAAAGCGAGGATAATCTGGAGCATTATGTTAAAGAATGTGAGGAGACAAGAGGTAGTTTTGAAGAGTTGGGGAAGGATAAGGAGATTGTAAGGAAATTATGGGGAGAAGATCTGAATGAAAAACTTAAAGGAAAAACGCTAATAAAATTATGGAAGGATGGAGAAAAAGAAGTAATAAAAAGAAGGAGAGAGGAAGGAAAAGACATAAATAGAGACTATTGTAAAGACAAAGATAATGTAAAGACAAAGAATGAGTATTTTGTAAGACTGCAAGGCTATGAGTATGAAATAAGATTGTAGTATAGTATTGTTACGTCCTACAGACGCCAGCTAATAGTCGCAACCATTTCCAGTCCACCTCTGCGTTTCCCCGCATGGAAAAACACATTCATTGTGCATGAATACATTTACACGCGTTTCCAACGAACACACGTCAAATTTGAGAAGTTTATAATGTATAAAACCCTTTATTTTATTATTATTTTGCATTTTATTAATAAATGTAACTTAAGATATTATCCTGTCTTTTATTAACATCACCTCTCGCATTCACTTCCCTCGAATACCTGAGATCGCACGAGGTCCAGTCCCGAGTCAAAAAGATTAAGTTCCTGGACTCGAAAAGTAGGACCGACATTCGCACTGTCCAGCGGAACAGATTTCATAGCGTCCCTTCGGACGTTGACCCATATTCCGGGACTGAAAAGATGCGTACAACTCACAGGTTCGCCTTCGCGCCTGTGAGATTGAGTCTAACCGTCCTTCCACACCCTCTCCATTCTCCCTCATTGTCTCCTTGACCAAATTTTCAAGAGTTTGGACGTAACAGTATATTATAGTTAGTTATAGTCAGTTATAGGTAATTTATTATCTGTTTACAAGTTAAGGAAATGCATTATAATGAGACCAATAGAAAATAAAAAGGGTAGGATGTAGATGGAATATGCAGTTAAAGAAAATAAGAGAAGATAGGGAGGTAAGTACGGGCAGAGAAATATTATGTAGAGCTAAAGGTAAATGAGACATGGAATATGGACAATAATAATAGACTATGATAGGATTGTAATATAGAGATTGTGTATAGGTAAAAGAGAATGTAATAATTTAAGTTTGTAGTTGTAAGATAAATGTAAGAGAGGAATGTAAGTATGAATGAGTACTTTTGTAAACCAAGTCCCCTTCTTGGCTGTATATGCTGAAGTGTAAATAAATTCTATATAATTATGGAGGAAAGGCCCCTATTATGAAATACCGAATTTATTTTGGGCAGATGGTGGAAATCTATGGGCAGAATTTAAAAAATAATAGATCATTTGGAAGGAAATTTAATAAATTTTAAGATAATGTTATAAAATTTAATTCAAATTTTATTTTTTTTTTATAAATTAGAGAAATATAAAAAGTAAGCAAATCGCTAAGTAAAAAAATTGTGCTCCTATGAGATGCCCCGAGATAATAAAACGCAAAGTACATCAATATTATAATTAAAAAATTTTATTTAATGTTTCTAAAATACAAACGAACACAGCCAGTGCGCGCGCAATATAAATATGTGATGCATTGTAAATGAGACCTAGAACTCGTTTTCAGATAGTTGGAACTAAGCATCGCAGAAACAGGCACTCGATGTTCATTCCGATTGTCCTTTTTATTATTGTATAGTAACATTTATACTTCAGCAACAATTTTTACTATGACATAGGAGCATAGGTTATTTCATATTAGAAATACCCTGAATATCTCATATTACCATTTCCTTACGGTTTTACAAAATCAACTTCTGTAATTAAGCAATTCAACGTATCCCGTATTTTTCTATTAGTATCTTACTCTATCACTACACGAAGAATTTATTGCCAACTATTTACTTATTAAATAATTAACAAGATTTAAAGGCTCATCTCAACGAAACTTGAAGACATCCAAATTCTAAAATCTTTTTTTATAACGACTACAGGCATGATCTAATAATTTCCACTAAATTTTCCACTAAATAGTTTTCATTCCAAGAGCAATAAATTCATGGTGCAACCAACAGATAGCGTTTATTAGTTTAGCGGAAACGCCGCTATCTCATATTAAGAAGCGCCCATCTCATAAAAGAAGACTTTCCTCTTTACATATTATATACGTATAATATATATAATTATATACGATTACATATAAAATATGTTCATTTACAGAAGTTATATAAATTTTATATAAAACATTTTTTCCCGAGTATTTATGCATGAAAAATTTTGTACTGTGATGTATTTCATAATAATGTTCGGGCTTTTAAATAAAAAAATCAAATAAAATTCTTCACACGTTAATTAAAAATTATATTTCACATTATTTACATTATATTCACTTATTATTTTACATTTCATTATTTTCACACTTAAAAAAAAAAGAGGAATTATTCGTAATCACATGTTTTTAATTTGAGATAAAATTTGAAACGCATTTAAAGTGAAAGACAAAGAGAATTGTTAAAATTTAAGACAATCCCTCCTTGTATAATTTTGGTCTTTTTCTAAACCGATCAAAAGATAACGTGAAACAATGTATTCTGATATAGTATATATGTATGTAAGATCTTTGACTGAAGAAATTATGCTGCTAATTAACTGTTAACTCTCATCTATAATAGAATTTTTCCTTTGCATTGCAACCATCAGTAGGACTAATTAAATTTTGCGAGATGATTAGCTGTTAATTAGAGGGACTGATTTGTTGCATGGATATTGATTCGGACAGCGAAGTGGCTGTATTAGAGTTCGAAGCTATACTATCACTTATTGGAATCTTAAATGGACCGCAAGTCTTCCCGCGAAATTGTTTTAATAGCATTTCCTTGATCTTTCTTCTACACACAAATACAACGAAAATGATGAGACCTTGCAAGGCATTTATGATGTCGGTCAGATACCAGAAGTACTCTGGTAGAATATTGGTACCAATCATCCACGCTAGTATCTCCAAAACCCAAGTTATTCCCATCACTATGAATAGTTTCAAGTACATACTAAACCTATGATCAAATATATTTTTGTATTATTTGTAATTGTGACTATAAGATATATTAATAAAATGTATAATATTTTTTAGGGCTATTAAAAATACATGAAAAGAAATGTTTTTATTATTATTAATTTTATACATTCTTAATAACAATAATAGTAAACAATCTTAAGCATCTTAAAAAACAATAAGCTAAATTTTAATCACAGAGAATTTCAAAATTTCTTCTAAGAAATATTTAAGAAATGTAATATTAATTTAAATTTTATATATATATATATATATACAGTGACTCGCATTAATATTCGGACATCATGATGCTTTAGAAATTATTACCATCTAAACATAATTTTTGTTGGAGTAAGAAATTTATGGCTTTTGTTTTAAATTGAAAAATTCATTATAGTTATTAGAAATATAAATTTTATTTCTATAATTACTATTTATATGATACAGTTTCGAATATATTAAATTATAGACAGAATTTTGCTTAATTCTGGTATCGCAAAAATATTCGGACACTTAACAAGATATAATAATATAAACGATATGATAATATATGAATGAAATGATAATAATTTTAATATTTTGTTGGATAACCTTTTTGTGTAATAACATACTGTAAACGTTTAGATATGTTAGAAATAATTTTTAAATAATCTGGTGTAATGCACGTTCATTCCTCTTTTAAATTTTAATTCTTCTTTTGATCTTATAGGCGTAATCCGAATGTTACGATCTAATAAATTCCATAAATTTTCTATAATTTAAATCTTATGACTGTGGTGGAGGATGTAATACTTTTGGACAGTTATATAATAAATATTCTTACACTATTCGCGATTTATGTTTTGAATCATTGTTTTGATAAAATTTGAAATTACCTCGTATATTTATTATATATTATTAGCACCTTTTATTAAATTATCTTTTAGAATACTTAAATATTTATTTTTATCCAAAATTCCGTCAATGAAAATTAATTCACCCACTCCTTTACTTGAAATACAACCCCAAACCATTAAACTTCCATCGCCGTGTATAGTTGGCTTCAAATTTTTCAATTTGAATTCTTCGTTTGCTTTTCGCCATATCATTTTCCGTCCGTCAGATATGAAAATGTTAAATTTGCTCTCATCAGTGAATATTACATCAGTCCACCATACTTGTTCTTTAGAAATAAATTCCTTGGCGAAAATTAATCTTTTCTTCCGATTCACTTATAAATGGCTTTTTACGAGTAACTCTACCAGCAACTAATCACTTTCTTTTAATACTCTACTGTATCAGGATATATCTTCTTGTTAGTCTCTTTGTATAATTCTGAGGTCAATTTTGTAGCACTTAATCCAGGATTTACTTTTATATTCCTAATAATTTTATGTTGATCCCGTGAGTCAAGTAATTTTGGACATCCTTTCTGAGGTATTGATTCAATGCGATCTTCACGAACATCTTTTTACAATATCTGCTACCGTACTCTTACTCAAATTTATTAATTTACCGATTTCTCGATATAATTTGCCTTTTTCATAATGAAAAATAACAAATTGGCATTTATCAAATGAACTATTTTTGCCTTTATGTCTCATTTTCACTGTTAACTTGTATGATCTTGAGAAAATTAGATTAACTTAATTCAACATGAAATAAATCACATATTTTGTATGACTTATTTCACGGTAAACAAGTAAGGAATAAACAAATTTGATTTCCAGAGGTCAGTAAATATAAAATATAATGAGTGTCCTAATATTTTTGCGATTTTAAAATTAAGGATTTACTTATTTAATTTTTTATATTGAAAACTACATTAGTTAAATAAATTAATTATTAAAATTAATATTTTATACATCTATAATGAGCGTTTCCAATGATTAAAAAACTGTAATTTCTTAATCCTATAAAAACTATACTTCAAAAATAATAGTTTCTCTATTATTATGATGTTGACGAATATTAATGCGAGTCACTGTGTGTGTGTGTGTGTGTGTGTGTGTGTGTGTGTGTGTGTGTGTGTATATATATACAATATATATACACAAGGTTTTTGGAAATTAGTGATAAGTCTTTCACACAAAGGCAGAATGCTGAGAAGAAAAATCTTCTACCATTTTTCAATTGTCGCAATGATTAACGAGTTATTAACTTATGAAAATAGTCAAATTCGCCCAGCCCATCGCCAAATGCAAGCGCGAACAACTTATCACTAATTTCTAAACGCCCTGTACATATATATATATAAATATAGGACTTCCGGTTAGCAAACGTTAGTGTGAAGATAGTGTGAAGACATATAGCTAATAGAGTAAATATTGATCGAGAAACAGCAAGAAACGAAAAGAAGGGTAAAATAATAAGTGGAGCATAAAAAAAGAAGGTGAGAAAGTGAGAAGGAAAAGAAAGCAAGTAAAGAAAGAAAAACCTGAGGGAATAAAGGAACTTAGAAGTTTCGGGAAAGCTCTTAGGAAAATAGAGCGGACTGGGAAAGAAGGAGGAGCGAAGAATCTACGAAGAGCATTGGTACCGTTAGGTGGTACCAATGCTAAGAAGATCAATAGGTAGTAAAAACAAACCTAAAAAAAAATATGCACAACGTAACAGAAAAAGAAGAGCCCATAATAAAAAGAGAGATTATGGAGGAGATGGAGGAAAATATATGCAAACAGATGAAAGAGATGAACGAAAAGAGATGACAAAATTCGAGCAAATAAGGAAAAAATGGAAAGAAAAAAAATTGGAAATAGAGGAAAGAAGAAAAAATAAGAATAAGGAAGAATACAATATAGAAAACAGGAAGCTGGAACAAAGAATAGAAAAGCTAGAATGGGAGAGAGAAAAGAAAGGTAGAGAGAGGAGAAGAAACAACATTATTATCAGAGGTATAAACAAATGGGATGCAAATAAGATGGAACAACAGGTCTTAGGATTCATTAAAGAAAATTTGAAGGTAGATGTAAGAGTAAGAAAAGCGTTCAAGATACATGATAGGGATAATAAGTGCATATAGTAGCTGAATTGAAAAGCTGGGTAGAAAAAAGAAAGATTATGATTTTAAAAAAGGACTTAAATGCAGGAATATTTATAGATAATGATCTAACAAAAATGGAAAGAGAAATGCAGAAACAATTGAAAGACAAAATAAAAGAGGAGAGAGAGAGAAAGCAAACAATGTGAAGGTAAGCTATGGTAAGATATTTATGAAAGATAAGTGGCTACGTTGGAATAAGAGAGAGAAGAGAATAGAAGAAAACAGAGGAAGAAGAGGAGAAAGAAGAGAATGAGAAAAGGATACGGGTAGTAGAAGTGTGATGGAAAGAAAGATAAGAATCTGTTTCTGGAACATTGCGGGACTATTTAATAAATATGAGAAAACGTGGGAATACCTGGAGGATTTTGACATCGTTGGATTACTTGAGACAAAAGATAGTAGACGAAGATAGGTGGGAAAAGATTAAAAATAGATAGTCGAGGGACCACTGATAGAACCAGCAAAAAAGGCATAAAAAAGAAAGAGTAAAAGGTGGGATAATCATTGCAGTGAGCAACAGAGTAAAGAACGTAAAAATTATGAAACTAAATAAAATTATGGAACTAAATGAACCAGCGATGGAGTGTAAAATAAAGTATAATGAAAATAAATGGAGAATAATTTCAGTGTACAGTTAAAAGATAGAAAAAACAATGGAGTTATTAATGAAACATATTCCAGAAAAAGAGGAAGAGTGTTTGATAATGGGAGGAGATTTAAACGCAAAAACAGATAGTGAAAGAGATTCAGAAGAAAATGAAAAGAGAAGTGAGAGTAGAGAATTCATAGATAACATAATAAACATATAGTAATAAGTAAAATAGAAGAGAGAGGATAAGCGATACTGGATAAAAACTTTGGAGAAAAGGAGGATGGATGTACATAGGGAATAGAAAATTATTTGTTATAGATTATGTGATAGGAAACGAGCAGGAGAAGAGATAAAAAGGGTAGAAGGCAACAGGATGGAATTAGATCACATACCGTTAGAAGTAGAACTGATGGGGCAATTAATCGAGAAAAAAGACAGAAAGAATACGGAAGTGGAAATAAAGAGAAGTGATTGAACGATAGAGGGAGTAAAAAGCTACCAGAGATGAGAAGAATGGAAGAGTACACAAAAGGATATAGAGGGCATCTAGATGGAAATGAAAGAAAAGATTAAAAGTGCAATCAAAAAATATAAGAAGAAGATACTCCCAAATTAGGAAAAAGACAATGGTATAATAAAGAATGGAAAGATTTGAAGATAATAGAATATGGAAAGCAGAAGGAATATCATCAGATTGGAATAAAGGTTTAATCTGTCTTACAAAGAGGAGAAAAAATATACGAGATTAAAAAATACAAAGGAATTACGTTAATGGACATATAAGACGCACAGCATATCTATGCGACTATTCTAAACAAAAGACTTAAAAATGAAACGGATGGAAAGTTGAAGGAAAGACAATTTGGATTCAGAAAGGAAAGAGGATCGATGGATCTGGATGATGAATTACGTGGTCAATAGGGAATTGAGCAGGAAAGAAGATGTTTGCATTTTTTTTGACCTACAAGCTGCATTTGATAATGTAGAAACAGAAAGCAGCTAAATGAAATGATGAAAAAGATGCAGATAGATATCTCAGACTTCGAGTTGTGGAAATGTATAAAGAAACAATAAATGTAGTGAAAATAGGCAACAGGAAATCAGAAGAGTTCTGGAAAAAAAGACCTCAGACAGGAATGTCCGACATCAGACAATATCGGATGTTCAATATCGGATTTGGAGGAAGAAATGGAAAAAAGATAGACAGAAGGAGTACTTTGCTTAAAAATTTCCACTGAAACCGATTGAAAGATTTCTTATGAATTTGAATACCAAATGAGCAACAGCAATCTCCGATTGATTTCTTTCGCAGAAAAGAAGAATCAATTGACAAGTTCCTACAACAATGTAATAAGTCCAAATGGAATTATCCATGATAAAATTTCCAATTAAAAAATAAGATTTAATAGATGTCATACAATCTTTAAAAGATCTTTATATGAAGATCACTTTTAAAATTAATAGGATTTTATTGAGGTTCACATAATGTACTTAAACAAATTTTATTTCGTTTAATGAGATTGAATGGGAAAGCCGCGCAATGACCCCAGATAATATTTATGTTGCATAAGATATCTAAAAGACGTCATTTAATGAATTTATAATAAGAAACACACTTTAATAAGATCTAATGAGAATCTATCAATTTTAAGTGGATACGCGTCCAATAATATTTTATTAGGATTCAATCAATTTTCTTATGCGTTTAATGGGTTTTAATCGGAAAATCGCTTATATATCGAGTTAAATGAAATTCTGTCGGATTTTGTACGCTATAAGTTCAATAAGTTTCAATTGCTTATACCGAATTGAATGGGATTCTATCGGATTTTGCACGCTATATAAATTCAGTTGGTTTTAATTGGAAATTCACTTTTACCGAGTTAAATGGGATTTTATCGAATTACAAGTTCAATGATTAAAATCCGTTTAAAACGTTAAGTTCCGATTAAAACCAATTGAATGCTACAATGGATACCATGTATAATGGGATTCGAGAAGTAAAACAAAAACGAGGAAATGGGGAGAAGAGGAAATAGAAGAAGTTAAAGAAATTAAATATCTAGGATAACTCTGCAGAAAAATAGGGGGACAGAGAAATATACAAGGTGCGTCCCAAAATTTTCCCAACTTTTTCAATAGGGATAGGTCGGGTGGCGCCATCCGTGTGTTCGATTGCGCGTTTGAAAGGTACATCCCTAGCTGACTTCCAGTAAAAATTTCATGACATTTGATTCAGTGGAAACGAAGTTATGGCGTCTCAAGTGTCAGTATGTTGTATACATCGGTACGAGAATGAACTTCGAACAAAGAGCCAATATTAAGTTTTGTTTTAAACTTGGTAAAACATTTACCGAAACCCATAATTTGATGAAACAAGTTTATGGTGATAATTGTGTAGCCCGTGCCAGTGTTTATGAGTGGTATACGCGATTCAAGAACGGTCGTGAGGACATAAATGACGACGCACATACAGGTCGCCCAAAATCGACAATTAACGAAAATTCCATCGAAGTTTTTATGATTCCAAGGGTATTGTGCACAAAGAATTCGTTCCAGCAGGCCAAACAGTTAATGCTGTATTCTATGTAAGCGTTTTGAAGCGTTTGGTGCACCGCATTCGTCGTATTCGGCCAGAATATCGCGAAGGAGGAAGTTGGCGCTTGTTACACGATAATGCGCCATCTCACCGTTCGACACTTGTCACTGATTTTTTGACTAAAAATCACATTTTAACAATCAACCATTCCCCGTATTCGCCTGATATGGCACCTTGTGACTTCTACCTATTCGGCAAAATGCATTTGTCCATGAAAGGAAAGCGGTATGTGGACGTAGAAGACATCCAAAGGGCTTGTACCACTATTCTGAAGGACGTGCCTTTGAACGACATAAAACACTCATTTGAAATGCTTTTAGATCGTGCCAAACGTTGTATCGACGGGGACTACTTTGAATAAACAATTTGAATTTGAAAAAAAAAGTAAACCGTTGTTGTTTTATTTCAAAAGTTGGGAAAATTTTGGGACGCACCTTGTATGTAAAAAAGAAAGATTAAAGAAAATAACAATGGCAATAAGAGAACGTAAAGCATCGGTGAAAAAATTTTCGAAGATGATTTCGAAAGGAGAATAAAGATGTTCAATGCTCTGGTGGACAGTATAGCCCTGTATGGAGCGGAGGTGTGAGGTTGGCAGACTGACAATAAATTAGATGGAATAAAAAGAAAGTACGTGAAATGAATTCTAAAACTGTGTGTTGTTTGTGGATTGGAGAATACCTAATTATATACTAATAGAAGAAACGAAGATAAGTAAAATTAAAATTAAAGCGATCAGAAGAGCAATAAAATATGAAGAAAAAAAATAAGGAACTCAAAGAAAAAACTGATACAAGAATGTGTAAAGATATGTATTGGAAAAGAAGAAGTATGGTTGGAAAAGGACTGTATGGGAAAAAAAGAAAGTAAATGGGAAAAGAAGTGAAGTTCTAGAAAGAGCAGGATTGAGTAAACAGCAAGTAAGAAAGGAAAGAGAAGCAGGGATTCAAAGTATAAAAGAAAACCTTAGAAGAGAAAGAAGAGAGAAAGTAGAAAGATAAATAAAGATAAAAGAATCAAGATATAATAGTGACTGTAAGAACATACGGCCAGAACAAATCTTGTTACCAAGATATTTGAAAAATATAATAGAAGTATAATAGTCAGATATAGATGTGGGAACGAAGCAAAAGGAAATCAACACTGGAGAGAGGAAGAAGAAAGAAGATGCAGAATTTATCAGGCTGCAAAGGAGATTATGATTTATGTACTCAAGGAGTGCAAGGAGATAAAGAATGAGATGCAGATGGAAGAATTTATAAAGGAAGAAGTTACAGGGCTGGATATAATGAGGAAGAGAGATAAAACAAAAAAAGAAGCAGAAAACAGAGAAAAAGGGAATAAGGAAGAAGACCCCTCCTGGATTGTATTTAAAAAATGAGAAAGCAAAGTATGGATTGTAAGTATAGTTTCCGGAGCAATTTCAAGCAATTATATATTTTTATGTTAATAGTCTTATTTTCAGAGCAGTTTCAAACAATGTTGTATAGACAATCTTGAAGTACCAAAACACAAGCAGTTATAGGTTTCTGATAGGTGTGATGTATTTTGCTTCATGTTATTTGACACATATATATTTTTATATTTCATATATTACATATTTTATTACTTTAACTACGAAGCGCCACTATGATCTGAATGTTGAGATGTTGAACTGTTATATATATTCATATAAACGTATTATTTTCAGAAATGATAATTATATCTTTTATATTTATATAGATATACGATTCGAGATGTAGACATGTATAATGTATATATAAAGAATACATAGTCAATAAAATGTAAACCATCCTAAACCATAAGGATTAAAATAAATAATAATAATAATAATAATAATATATACCCGAGAAAAAATATTTTATATGTAATTACATAAAATTTTATATATTGTATATATAATAAAGATATGAATAATTAACATATCAGATTCTGAGAACAATTGTCTTATTATAAATAGAAATAATAAAGCAAATATAATTTGACATGTGTGAGGCTATTTGTAAATGGATATACATGTTTGCTTCTTTCATTAAAACAAATTATACATATATATATGTAATGCAGATAGGTATATATAGAATTAGAAGCATTAATGTATGCTTATATATAACGATTATTATCCTAATAAAATAATTATATTGCCTATATAAGAATGGGAAGTATTGATGATCTGCATATCATGCAGATAATTCTTGTAGTTTTAATTCATTTTTAATAAAATAATTGTTTTTAAATTCTAATATGGTCTTTTTAATTTACATATTATGTTAAATATCGTATGTTTCTAATAATATAATATTAAGAGAAATTTTGAAATGTTCTGTGATTAAAATTTAATTTATTGATTTTTAAAATTGTTTTCAACTGTTTACTATTGTTATTAAATATGTGTAAAAATAATAATAATTTTTTCCTTTAGTATCAGTTAACTATACATCATGCAGTTTTTTGTAAATGCGAGTGCATTGAATAACATTAATTCTTTAGGGCCACTTTGACCAACTCCGCTTAACTTTAATCAATGGTTAGTCTATTGACCAATTGCATCCATCAAGTCAAATGACAAATATGATTGGTCATTCCAATCTAATCATCAATCCAAATTAATCAGAGTTGATTCCCTTAATTGTAATATATACCTCTGCTTATTTTCATCGTGACGCTTGCTCTCCGAATCTCTCAACTCACTAGCTGTATGTATTTTCTGGTGCAGAATCATTAGTGTTGTGCAGATGAAAAAAAAAACGTTACTAACGATAGTAATACTCATGGGTACGTAAAAATATAATGTTTTTGCTTTATTCTCTGAAACAAAAACAAATTCTTTGTATTACACTGCACTAATACATGTGGATGATGTGGAATGTCCATTATTTAAATTAAAAATTGTTGAAAGGAGGATATCAATTTTCGAGGGTTTCGCGACTACTCGGGGATCGATTAATTTCTATGTTTTCTTATACATATTCTCCTTCGTAAAAACCAAAAATAATTATTATAATAACGTTAGACTTAAGGAAAAAATTGGTACATTGAAATGAAATGAATAAAGACATTATTCACTATCAGTTATGTCTCAATGATTTAGAAATTATTTCCAAATTGGATAAAATGTGAATAACATTGCACTACAAAGCGTTAGATTATATTTTTCATTAAAACATTTGTTACAAAAAAATTAATAATGAAAAATATAAAAACTTGAAAATACAATAAAACACATTAATTAGAGCTTCCCAAATTAATAATTTTTTTACGAATCATTTTGTATTTTTAGATTTTATTCATATCGACTGTAATATTGATAACTGGCAACGAAAAAGTTTTCTTATTTAATTTTAATATGCTACGGATTATTTTTGGTTTACGGATTACCTTCTCGGACTCAAACCAGGGTAACTCTGCAAATCCCTTTATCACGCTATATCTCTGGACTGAATACGTATTTTTTAGCTCAAATCATGTGAAGTTTACACCTCAAAGTCAGACGAAGACAGATAAATATGAATCAAATAAATAATATTTTATTTTCAATTAATTACAATGCTTCAAAAAAATTTTATTGGAAAATTCGCAAAAAATAACTACTTTCGATAAAAAATTTAACTCAAATTTTTAAATTTAATGTCCAAGCAAAAACCCATAGGATTTTTTTAGTTGAATCTTTAGACTAACAAAAAAAAATAGTACGATATGAAGCGCTCAAAAAAAGTACAATTATTTAAACTATCGAAAATCAACATTTTTGAAAAATTTATACATATTATTATAAAATGATTATGTGTTTCATTATGTATTTCTCCGTGTCCAGATCCATTCGTGAAATACCAATGTTTCGTTAACCTTGTAATCCCCTTCATCAAGGCGAGCAATAGCCTAATACTGAGTTGTTCCTCCGAGCCGTTCCTTTTATATTGCACTGCGTGAATGGATTAACGAGATTCCCGCTGTCCCTATCTACTATCTAGCGAAATCACTGCCAAGGGAACGGGCTTGGAAAAATTAGCGGGGAAAGAAGACCCTGTTGAGCTTGACTCTAGTCTGGCACTGTAAAGAGACATGAGAGGTGTAGCATAAGTGGGAGATGGTAACATCGCCAGTGAAATATCATTACTTTCATCGTTTCCTTACTTACTCGGTTTGGCGGAGCGCGTGCCCCGAGGGCTTCGTGCCCCGGCGGTGTTCTAGAGCCAAGCGTATCAGAATGGCCTCGGCCAATCGCCGATGATACTCCCGCGTGATCCGATTCGAGGACACTGCCAGGCGGGGAGTTTGACTGGGGCAGTACATCTGTCAAAGATAACGCAGGTGTCCTAAGGCCAGCTTAGCGAGGACAGAAACCTCTCATAGAGCAAAAGGGCAAAAGCTGACTTGATCTCGATGTTCAGTACGCATAGAGACTGCGAAAGCAGTGGGAGAGAAGAAGAGAAATGAGGGGTGTGAGTGGAGGGGGGAGGGTGAAACATGGGGAAAATTGATTGGTCTTCAATAACCGAAAGAATGGTTTCCATATTTTATTTATATTATTATTGTAGCCATTATTTCTATTTAAATTGTTAGGGTGTTTTTTCTCTATAGCTTCTCTATACTTTCTTAGAAAGTAATGTTGGTTATTATGATCGTTTTGTCAAACAGTATTTGATGTCTCGTATAGATATTGTGTTCTGATGTCGACTGCGTGACGTATTTTAGCCTGACATCACGTTAATGTTCTTTTGTCCGTAGGTTCTGCGGTTTTTCCAATGTATACTTGCCCGCAGAAACAAGGTATTGTATTTTGTATACTCCTGCGGAGTTGAGTAGAGGTCTTCGATCTTTAGAATTTTTTAAGATTTGTCCTATCTTTTTGAGTGATTTTTGAAGATAGTTCGAATATTGTGTTTGTTTAATATCCTGCCTATTTGAAGTTTCCTTGACATATGGGAGAATGGATAGGATCCTTTCGTCTGATTATATGTTGATTGTATGTTGTTTGTGATTGTGATTGATCGTTGTTTTATTTACATGTTTATTGATTAATTTGGTTGTCTTTTTTGTTGTGTCCGTTTTTCTATAAGGTTAGTTTTAGATAGTTGAGTTTTGTTTGTAGATGTTCTTTATCAGAGATGGTGAAAGTTCTATGTACAAGTGAGTTGATTGCTGACTGTTTTTGTGCTAGGTAGTGGCACAACTCGGCATATGAATATCTATCTGTGTGTGTTGGTTTTCTGTACACTTGATGGTCTAAGGTATTATCAGATACCTTTCTTAGAGACATCTAAAGAAGGGGAGTTTTCTTCTATGTCTATAGTGAAGTGGATATTTGGATATTGATTGTTGAGGAAAATAAGGAATTTACAGAGTTCGGCTCTGCTGTGTCTCCATATGTATCCTCTACATAACGGAACCAAATATCTGGTTTTTTGAGTGTTTTTCTGAGGGCCTCTTTCTCAAAATGCTCTATGTTGACGATTACAGAAATAGGAGAGCCCATCGCTGCTCCTGAAGTTTGTTCATAAAATTGGTTGTTATAGGAGAAGTAAGTGGTTGTTAAGCAGTGCTCTATTAGCGGAATGAGATCGAAGAGGACTTCATGTGAGGCCTTTATTATGTTTAATGTGTCTTTTAATGGGACTTGTGTGAAAAGAGATTCTATGTCGAAACTTACAAGCAGGTCTGTGGGATGTAGTCGGATCTTTTGGATGAAGTTGAATTGGTTATGTGTGATCCAATTTTTCAGTGAGGGATTGTAGTGTTTGTGCTAGGAAGCGGGATAAGTATGTCAAAGAATGTATGGCGCTGACAATCGGTCTGAGGGAGATGTTTGATTTGTGTACTTTTAGTAATCCGTCTTAATAGGAGAGGATTTGTAGATTTAATGTTGATTTGGTTTTACTAGGAATGTTGCTTTTCTCCACTAAGATTTTTTCTGCGCGATTGTATTAGTTGAATCTTTGTCAAGCTTTTTGTATGCTTTGCCGAGAGAAGATTCTTCATCTTTTTCTTATAGTCTGATGTGTTCATGACAATACTGTCGTGCCTTTGTCGACTAGAAGCACAATAATGTTTGTATTCCTGTTCAGGTCTCGGAGGTGGAGGGGATTTTGCTTTAGAAAGAATATTGGTTACCTGTCTGATGTTATCTGCTTGTTCCGATGAGAGGTAGATAATTGACTCTATTTGGCTGATAATCTCTTCCTTTGGAACCCTAAGTGCCACTGCGAAGTTCAATCCTTTTTCAAGCGCAGATATCGTGTCTCGAGACAGGTCTTTGTTGATAGGTTCTTAACGTTAAGTAAAGAAGATTGTGGATTTTTGTGAGGGACAAGATTTATGTTTCTGTCTTTCAGAGGATTGCGTGAAGGATTGTCTTCATGGCTTGTTCATATGTAATACGATCTAGAATTTGCCAGATGTCATATCGCAACGTGGCGGATAGGAACAGATGGAGTTTAAAGATTTTATGGGAGATTTGGGCTATTTGTGACTTAGTGAAGTGGATGCGTTCTTTGATGAGAATCAGGCTGATTTTATAAATGATTTTTGAATTTGTGAGTTTCTAAGTAGTCCTTAAGTTATAGGATGATGTTATTATTCCTATATTTTAAGAATGCCAAGTTTGATAGTTTCTTGACTAGGAAAGACCTTAGTTTGTTGAAAGTGATTACTATAGCAACGTTACTCTCCCCGTAGAAGTATTTAATAATTTTCTTGAAGCTTTCCCCGATTCTCCCGATTATTGAAGACCGATCAATTTCCTCTCCCCTTCCCTCACAATTCCACCCCCCCCCACCATCACTCCAATAAGCAACATAATATAAAAGGAACGGTCCGGAGGAACAAGATCAGGTTGTCGCCCTGATAAAGTGAAAGACTATGAAAGTTCACGACCCTTTTTGCTTCAACATTGAATAATTGAGTAAAATAAAATCGTCCAGAGATCTATAAAAAAGCAAATTAGAGATAAAGATTCACTCTTTCGATAGCTATGAACCCCATATGTGCGCAATTTTTTAAAAATTAAACAGGAGTTGTAATATAATTATATTATGTTTGTATGGGCTTGGACGCGTGCGGAAGTATAAATACCTATAAATATATATACAATATCTATATGTAAATATATGCAGGATGTTTGATAAGTAACAATAAAACTCTCGATAGCCCTGATGAAAATTTTTCTCAAAATTTTTCATATAATTTTTTAAAATTTCTATATAATTTTATAATTTTCTCATATTTTTTATTACGAATTAGAACATTTATCAGAAAATTTATATCTTTCAAAATTTTCAATATATGTTAATTAATGTATACAAATTATATAATATATATTAATAGAATAATTAATAAAATATCGTATTAGGTGTATAAATAAGTTTCCGCCGTTTTTTATTAAAAATTAAGCATTTATTGTGAAAGAACGATACATAATGTTTTATTGATGTAAGTCAAAATATAAGTGCAAGTTCTTTTTGCGTTTGGCACGAATCTTCATTCAATAATGCTTCCGCATTTTCGTACACTTTCGGCCTTCCGCTACATTCTTTGTCTTCGACGTCAAATTCACCGTTCTTAAATTTTTGAAACCATTCACGACAACTTCTCTCACTTAAGGTAGCCTCACTATATGCTGCTACAAGCAATCGATGAGCCTCAGCTGCAGATTTCTTCAAATTAAAGAAGTAAATCAAAAGTTCCCGCAAATGACGCTTATTCGGCTCAAAACTCGGCATTTTCGCACCAAAAAAAATATATGATGCTGATACAAAATCGCTAGTATTTCAAGGTTATGTTGTTGACAGATGTCCAATCTTACGATATAATGTTTTACATCAGACAATTTTAACCTGCTAGTGGCATCGTCTTTTGTCAAACGGCGGAAACTTATTTGTACACCTAATAAGATTTCTAAGATTTTTTGTAAATATAATTTCTAATGACATGTTATAAAATCTAAAAAATTTCAAAATATTTTTTAAAAGTTATGGAATGAAAAATCTCAAATATTTCAAAATTTACATGTATGAAAAATTCTAAAAGAAGATGTGAACTTTCTGACTATTTTTGAGTATTTCTGAAAAATATTCCAATTCATATAAAAATTCTAAGAAAAATTTTTTCATCAGAGAGGGATAAAGCGGACTAAACTGAGTTGAAAAGTTCTCTACCATTTTGCAATTTTCGCAGTAATTAACGTTTGGAAGACAGGAGGCCTCTTTAGAGACTAGACAGTCGCCACCTTTTTCGCCACTCAACCCTATGACATTGACAAAAAAGTTCTAGTCTTTAAAATAAAAAAGTCGATTAAAAATAGCGTTGTTAAAATATTAAACAAGATATTACTAAAAAACACATTATATCAAAATATTGATTTTATTCCAAAATAGTGGACATATTATTATATAAATAATTTTTTATTCAAGTATTGTCAACTTTACAGAAAAACAGCTAGAGAAAACAATTTTTTATTTTCTTGTCATAAAGCTCTAAGAATTTTTTCAGAAGTTTTTATCAATTTTTAGTACTGCATTTTCTTATTGGCTATTATTTTTCCAACATGAAAAAAATGTAGTATTAAAAAATTCTAAAAAAATTCTCAGAACTCTATAAGAAAAAAATAATTTTTGCTGTTTTTCAATAAAGTTGATAGTACTTGAGTAAACAATTATTGAAAACCAATATTCGGCGATAATTAATATCTTGTTAACTATTGCGAAAATTGTATGTATTGCGAGAATTTTCTCGTTATCAAACAGTGTATATTTATACAATACATATATATATATATATATATACGACGAAGCGCT